AATTAGTTTAGCAGAGTATATGTTTAGTGTACACGCAATGTTTGATGTAAATTTCTTGAAGTAAAGCCAAACGCATGGTAAAGATACTATAATAGTACGCTAATAGTATATAAACACGAACTCCAATACTTCTGTGAACTGAACGTGATTGGTGACCCTGAACGTTCACCATGAACTCTTGTTTCCATCCAACATGGGTTCATTATTCGCCCCTGCCGTTTCTATTCTGGTAATATTTAAGTGTTCTATTGCCTGCTCAAGATTTGTAATCTCGTTGTGATGGAAGGACTGTGTTAAACTGGGTTAAAAATGAGATACGCTCCTAGGTGAGCTAAAATTGGTATATTCAGCTAGAAGAGCAAAAACGAAAAGACCAGAAATGTAATAATAATAATCTCAGAACAATTCACACAACGCCATTTAGAGTTTGTGTTATGGGTACTAGGTAACTGATGCAAATACATAGATTTTTTTTTGTAAATACATACATATTATACATAGAAAACACGCAGACCGATACAAACAATCATACTCATGAATACAAATGTTTGTGCCGTGCGAGGAATCGAACCCGCGACCATCGACCAGCGGTATGCTAAACCACTAAACCACCCAGGTCGTCAAGAAATATGGCATTAGAAAACAATCTATACATCTATTACATATAAATAAAATTATAGTTTTCCCGAGATAGAGTTTCCTGTTAAGCTGCTTGGTACGAGCTGGGATTTGGTTGAAGGGTGAAATTGGCTGTACGGTGGTCTAACACCTCAGCCACCCGGGGGGGGGGGGGGGGGGGTAAGGGGATTGTTAGTAATGTGGGCTAACGACCACATTACTAGCAAAGCACCATATCAGGTTGACCTCCACGCGGTTCCCCCTGGAAACCATCGTTATAAATACTTGGTGAATTTGTCACGATGGGCTAACTGACCTGACCTCATGTGCATCTTATTATCTTTCACTGGTGCCCCGCCAGCATAAACCGTTAGCGCAGGCCATTTATCCATTATCGTGCATAAAAAAAAACACCTTAGTCATTAATCATTATTCTATGGGCGGTACATAATGACGTAATGAAACTATAAATTCTCGTTGTAGATTTTGTGCAGATTTTTGTGTGGGTCACCTATATATCACCTATTTTAGCTAGCTGCTTACCAAATAACTAGCTTTGCAAGACGTGTTTTTCGTTGATCGGTGAGGTACAGCAGTGAAATTACAGGGTGTGACAGATTTTAGTTCTCCACAATGCCAGCGTATGAGTGTACGTCACGTCATTCACGCGTTGACTTGGACGTGACAAGAACGTGGTATTGATCATTGCAGTTTGCAGTTCTTGTTAAAAAATTTGCCTGTTTAAAATGGAATTTGCAACTGCGTTCTACATTCGCTCAAGCTGTGATCTTAGTTACTTTTGTTTTTATAGAAAAACTTAAAATGCATAGCACTGACAATGTTATCTACACTAATAATGAGTGCGTAGCGATTTCTATGTTGATTATCGCATGGCTCTTACTTGTTATACTGTAAGTATTATATAAAAAAAAACATCTATTCAAAAGAGCAACACACAAGTTTCTTGCTCATTCTTCTTGTGATGAATCTGCATTCCGAATGAGTGGTAGAATCAAAATATGACTATTCAAAAGTGCTTGTAATGAGTTTATTTGAATAAAGACTATTTCTATTTCTATTTCTAATAGAATAGATAAGGTGATAGAACTTGCGTTATCTATTCAACTCGACAAGTGTGTATACAAAAGCATCCTGGAAATGTACGTCAAGTAGCAGCTTTGTATTGCATCTGTACAGGGGCTATTGTTGAGTCGTTGTGTATAGTGTTGGATAGCCTATTTATCAAGGAGGTATATAGGCTATATAATATCACGCTACGACCAATAGGAGCGGCGCAGCAATGAACATTTTTGCAATGACGGGGAAAATGTGGCGCTTACGAAATCATGCAGCACAGTTAGTAATAAAGGAAATAGGTACATCATTAAATTGTTAACCGAGTTTTAATACAAATAATTTCATGTTAAATACCTATCTCGACAATTCAAGTGAATTACCGAAGTAACGACCTCTTGTTGCCAAAAATTATGTGAGATGGTGAACGATGAGGTCTGGTTCTGCAGTGCTTTCGTTCGAGGCCTTAATAAAAAAAAAGAGGACGTGGTAAGAGAATGCGAAATGTCCTCTGCTGATCGGATCTGGCGGAGTAGACTAGTAAGACTAGTAAGACCCAGAAGGGGTGCGATTCATCCCTCCCTCTGCTAGGGTCAGAGGCGGTAGCTACTAGCTGTATAGACGGACCGGAGCCCGCGGAAGACTTTGCGCATTCCGTAACCCCAACAAAAGGTGAAGGTAAAGAACACTAGTAGTTTTTAGCCGGTAAAAGTCCGTCTGTGTGTGTTTACTTCGCCCGGGGTTGCCGTGGGTATCCATGAAGATTTTCCCCAAGAAGAAAAAGCCACTTGGTCACGAGCTGACTGGCAGCATAAAATTATTAGTTTTAAGATTCGGTTATAAATATATAATGTGTATAGCTGTCCCGGGAAACGTTAATCAAAACTGTTATAATATATTTAAATAATAAATATGACAATATATATATTTGCTCTGAAGTTCCCTTCAATCTCTACAATATTATGTTTTTTAAAATTTAGTTTTTTACATTTTGGTGTCAAAATACTTTTATTTACTTTTTATATGGATTTATGCACACTAAGGAACATCCTATACAGCTATATTGGTATTCTAAACTCTTATTATTTTTATTTATCAATATATAAATCGTAAGTTAACAGCAAATATATATGAATACTAGCTGTCCCGGCAAACGTTGTTTTGCCTTAAAATAAAAAAAAAAAATAGGGGTGGACTACCCCTAACATTTAGGGGGAAGAAAAATAGATGTTGGCCGATTCTCAGACCTACTCAATACGCTCACAAAATTTCATGAGAATCGGTCAAGCCGTTTCGGAGGAGTATGGGAACGAAAACTGTGACACGAGAATTTTATATATAAGATTAAACATATAAGTTTAATAATAAATATGTACATATTATTATAGTGTTACAAAATGTAACTACAAAGTGTTTGCAACGATTTAACGTAAACATTTACCTCTCGCTGTGTATCGTTTATGAGCAATAATGTGATCTTACCGACCTCTCGCATCTATTTCTAGTTGACACATTAACTAGCTGTTTACGGTTGACATTCTGTGTGTTATGATATTAACTAGGATATTGGAAATATATTGTATTTATATTTATAGAATCAGTATATCATCATCAATCAGAATCATACCATCAGTGTAATACCGTACCATCAGTGTATATACCATACCATCTTTATATATAAAAATTACGTGTAACATTGTTTGTCCGCGATGGATTCCTAAACAATTGTAAATTTGATTTGCACATTGTGTGCAATTTGATCCAACTTGAAAGATTGTTTTATTCAAAAACCAACATGGTTGCGAGGGTGCTGCTCCTCAACCCACTCTCGAAACCGCAGCTGACTTCCACTAGGCTTCATAATACAACTTTCTTAACCATCTTACAAGTCTTCGACCGATAGGAAATAATTGAAGACAACAGCATCTGGCTCCAGGACTAAATTAACTGATTACAAATAAAGGTTTCTTTAGACGGATTGTAGCATCTGGCTCCAGGACTAAATTAACTGATTACAAATAATGGTTTCTTTAGACGGATTGTAGCATCTGGCTCCAGGACTAAATTAACTGATTACAAATAATGGTTTCTTTAGACGGATTGTAGCATCTGGCTCCAGGACTAAATTAACTGATTACAAGTAATGGTTTATTTAGACGGATTGTAGCATCTGGCTCCAGGACTAAATTAACTGATTACAAATAATGGTTTCTTTAGTCGGATTGTAGCATCTGGCTCCAGGACTAAATTAACTGATTACAAGTAATGGTTTATTTAGACGGATTGTAGCATCTGGCTCCAGGACTAAATTAACTGATTACAAATAATGGTTTCTTTAGACGGATTGTAGCATCTGGCTCCAGGACTAAATTAACTGATTACAAATAATGGTTTCTTTAGTCGGATTGTAGCATCTGGCTCCAGGACTAAATTAAGTGATTACAAGTAATGGTTTCTTTAGACGGATTGTAGCATCTGGCTCCAGGACTAAATTAACTGATTACAAATAATGGTTTCTTTAGACGGATTGTAGCATCTGGCTCCAGGACTAAATTAACTGATTACAAATAATGGTTTCTTTAGTCGGATTGTAGCATCTGGCTCCAGGACTAAATTAACTGATAACAAATAATCGTTTCTTTAGACGGATTGTAGCATCTGGCTCCAGGACTAAATTAACTGATTACAAATAATGGTTTCTTTAGACGGATTGTTAGTATTGTGGACTAATAACCCTATTGCTAAGAATGTAACATGTCAGGTTGACCTCCACGTGGTTCCTCCTGGAAACTATCATGAGGAATTCATGGTGAATTTACCATAACGGGCTATCTGATCTGACTGTAACATGTCAGGTTGACCTCCACGTGGTTCCTCCTGGAAACTATCGTGAGAAATTCATGGTGAATTTACCATAATGGGCTATCTGATTTGACTGTAACATGTCAGGTTGACCTCCACGTGGTTCCTCCTGGAAACTATCATGAGAAATTCATGGTGAATTTACCATAATGGGCTATCTGATCTGACTGTAACATGTCAGGTTGACCTCCACGTGGTTCCTCCTGGAAACTATCATGAGGAATTCATGGTGAATTTACCATAACGGGCTATCTGATCTGACTGTAACATGTCAGGTTGACCTCCACGTGGTTCCTCCTGGAAACTATCGTGAGAAATTCATGGTGAATTTACCATAATGGGCTATCTGATCTGACCTCATTTTATCATCGTTCACTAGTGTCCAGTGTAAACCGTTGGCTTGTGCACGATTCGATTATAATCCATAAAAAATGGTTTCATTGCAGGCGTACGAGAGGCGGTTCCCGAGCTGCCCCCAGATCCCGGTGGTGATGGAGTGCGTCATCACGGACGACAGCTGGTCTTCTGACAGCTCGCAGCGGCACACCACCAGGCGCTGTCAATTGAACGTCGAAGCGCCATATTTATTGAAAAAGGTAGGATACATATATTGGTAATAATAGTTCATGCACGGGATTTCCACTTAATGTTAGACTTAGACATCTATAAAGAACATTAAGTAAAAAAAAACTGGCTATTAAAAAGAAAATCTGCTGAGGTTCTCATTTCTTCTCATTTCTATCTTTCATTAGTTCTCATTTGAATTCTTCTTCTGAATTTGTATACTGAATTGGACGGTAGGGAAATATTATAAATACAAAAACATTCATAAGTGGTTAAAAGTTACTTTTTTTTATTAAAATTAATAACATTTATATAATAAAAGTAGCTTAAGATATTTTTTATTGCCTATCTGTGAGAGAAGTTCCCGTAAAAATCCAGCCGTTTCACAGATTAGCAAGAACAAACGGACAGACAGACTATTATTTTTAAATTATTATCTAAATATATATAACTCAAACGTGACTGACTGACATAGTGATCTATCAACGCACAGCCCAAACCACTGTGGATCGGGCTGAAATTTGGCATGCAGGTAGATGTTATGACGTAGGCATCCGCTAAGAAAGGATTTTGATAAATTCCACCCTTAAGGGGATAAATTAACGCGAGCGAAGCCGCGGCCAAAAGCAAATTTTTTTATAAAGTACAAATATATTTAGTAAAATACATTTGTACGGTACGGTATGGAAATCCTTTAACTGTGTTATATACATTTTGTTGCAGATGATTGGAGTAGACTACGTCTACTTCATACAGAAGAACCACCTGGACTTGAAGAACAGGGTTCTGGAGATCGAGGCTACCAATGAGACATTCTCCACTAGAGTGGGGGTCGTTGAGAAGTGTCGGTACTATGTGAGTATTTGTTATTTTGTTATGAATCGAAAGAAAAACAGTTTTCTCACATATTTCTGACTGTTTTTTTCAAACCACGGCAGTTTTCAAAATACGCAAATAGCGACCCGCCCCGGTTTTATACGAGTATGTAATTATACTACACACAATCTTAAAGATTTATACAACTAAACCTTCCTTAGAAATCAATCTATTAATGGATGAAAACAGCATGACAACATGTCTAGTAGTTTATGAGATTAACGCGAATATATATAGAAACACGGTGTTTGTAATATTTATTGATATTTTACGTCGGAAGTGCTTAATTCAATGGTTATAACAAATTGAGATGCACCTATGCAGCGTGTTCGATGCAGCCAAGTTATTGTTCTGGATGGTATCATATTAGATTAAGTTTTTTAGTTTATTTTTGTTATTTAGTATTTATGGGCCGGACAATGGGCCGGCGACGGATTTGCAACTGAAATGAGAATTTAGTATGGATAAGATAAAGAATGAATACATTAGAGGAAGTATGGAGTGGCGCCGGTGTGGGATGAAGAGGAAGAGTAATCGTCATGGTATGGACATGTAATGCGTAGGAACGAGGATAATTGTTACAAATGTGGTTATAAGGGCAGAGGAACAAGAAATAACAAAGGAAAAAAAAATCAATGGAAAAAAAATTGGACCCCAAATAAAAAAACCTATGTCACATTATGTGCACAAAAATCCCAAAAAAAAAAAATTAAGTGAAAAAAAAAAATCCTATGCAGCGTGGTTTTCAGGCAGCCCCCATCTCATTAAAAAAAACTAAGATGCGGGTTGTTTACTATATACACATACATGTAAATTTATTACATTTAAAAAAACAAAAAAAATATATTAAATAAGATCTAGGATACACAAATATAAATATATTTAAAATGAATTACAATATTCAATGCTCATAAATACTCAATTACAATAACAGTATCAAAAGGAAAAAAAAATTACAAATATAAAAAGAAAAACCAATCAGTGTCACCGCTCATAATCACAGTATGTGATAATATATACGAGTACAAGCCCATACGCACACATGTACTTATTATTGGTAGTATAATAATATATACTGCCAACTACAGAAGGCTGTAGTTCTAAATACATGCCGGATTGTTAGAAAGTTTCTACAGATAGATTAGGCCTACATTTGTATATCCACCTGATATAGAACATTGTTATGTACTTGGCTTAGGCCCGTACATACCAAGATTACCGGCGAAAGTCGAGAAAAAATAATAATAATAATAATAATAATAAGAGGGGAGATGAGAATTTTTGGGAAAAAAAAAAAAATAATAATAATAATAAATCTCAGACGGTTGGGATTCCGGGGCGGCTCACTCCCGGGAAAGATGCAGAAAGCGGTGCTGTTAGATTCTGCCCGCATTGTACGCCGGTTTCTCTCCCTGGGGCCCTGAACCCCGGCCGACTGAGCTTTTGCCGGGGGTGTGTTGCCATCTCCTCTCCTTAAGAGGGGAGATGAGAATTTTTGGAAAAAAAAAAAAAATAATAATAATAATCTCAGGACAATTCACACAGAGCCATCTAGACCCAAGTTAAGCTAGCTAGAGCTTGTGTTATGGGTACTAGATAACTGATACATATACATAGATATTTTTTTTTTGTAAATACGTGCATATTATACATAGAAAACACCCAGACCGATACAAACAATCATACTCATGAACAAAAATGTTTGTGCCGTGCGAGGAATCGAACCCGCGACCATCGGTCGTAAAGCGGTGTGCTTGACCGCTAGACCACCGAGGTCGTCAGTATTAGACTATGATATCCGTATATTATGTTAAGATTCAGTTTCTCAATAAATTAAAATTTATTTTTCCAGTAAAACTCTTTAAATTTACATTTGAAAGTAAATTGCGACATTTTAAGACAAAGTGCTGGGGGGGGGGGGGGGGACATTCTAGATTTTTGCTGCAGAGAAATATGTATTAAAATAAATTTAACAAAAGTTGAGATGTACCGCAAAGGTGAATAGGCAACCAACTCAGATTCTGGTGAATTGGTCTCGTTGATCTAACTGACCTGCCTTCATGCTCATCCTTTCACTGGTGCCCCGCCAGGGTATTCCTGTCGGCCTCCACTGGTGCCCCACCAGGGTAAACCTTTAGCGCAGACTAGTGCACCATTCCTTTCATCATTGCCTTGCCTTTATCCCATTATTTGGGGTCGGCGCAGTATGTCATCTTCCACTGCTCTCTATCGGTCGTCATATCTAAACATACTCTTCTTTTATTCATATCATCTTTCACACAATCCATCCATCTTTTCTTAGGGCGTCCCCTCCCTTTACATCCATCCACATATCATTATTAAAAAAAAACCCAATATGTCCTCGTGTGCTCAATTTCTAGAATATGATTGAATAATTTGTAAACGCATTAAAACTCGATTATAGTTATAAAATTCGGTTTGAAATCAAGCACATCTCCGAGAAAATAGTCAGAATTTAAACCCGATAGAAAATCTCTGGTATATTGTTAAAAAAACAGTCTTAAACAAACGTAACACCAGTCAAAACGAACTATATGAAGCATTTGTTGAAGCATGGAATTCTATACCTGTAGAAAAATGTATGAAATAGATTGAATCTATGCCACGTCGTTGCAGTGCTGTTATTAAAAATAAGGGATATGCCACTAAATGTTATTTATAGCTATTGGTAGGCTGTGGTTAGTAGCTATTTCGTAAATAACAATAAAAATTACTAATTGTTGCTGGCAGCTTGTCTATCATTCTTTTTATAAACTTTATATTTTTATATCTAATTTTTTATCCGTCGCTTTTGACTATCTATATTGTTTTGTTACTTCTCGCTGTGAGCCCTTTTGGGAAGAATACACATTTTTACTAATATTTGGATTTTATTAAAATAGTAGTTGTGTTCCCGCTTCAGTAACACTAATAATTAAAAAAATATAGTTTTTTATACTTTTTTGTTGTTGTTTCTAATTAGTTGACCATTATTGCTTATATCTTAGAACTGATTTATATCGTTGCCGGTATTGTAATATTGAAACTACACCTATGTAATAGAATTTATATAGTTTTTATAATAAATTATAAATTGTTGAATATATTGTTGTCCTATTTATTGTTTAATTTCAAAATAAAAATGATTTCAAGCACATCTCCGGGTTTGAGGGTATCATGAATCTGTCTTATTGTATCGACAAAATTTCATTGACTTTAATTAGTAATTTTAGAAATTTTTAATAGTATCCCTATAAGGGTGGCAGGGCCTTTATATAAGGGTGGTGCTTGTTAGGTAAGTGATAGATACGACATTTGAGTATTTACTGTCTAGTTTATTATAATACTAGTTACTCGCCCCCGGCTGCGCCCGAGTGTACATGTATGATATATAAAAGTCGCTGTGGCTGTCTGTCCGTCCCTATGTATGATTAAATCTTTAAAACTACGCAACGGATTCTGAAGCGGTTTTTTTTAATAGATAGTGATTCTAGAGGAAAGTTTATACTAGCTAGTAGATAATAAATAACCCTAGACAATTAATACAGCGCCATCTAGTCCCACGGTAAGTAGTGCTTGGGTGTACCAGACAACTGATATCTATACATATAAATAAAATTGGAGTGTCGGTTTGTGATATTGAAATAACTGTTTTTTACTACATGCATATGGATATAAATACGGTACCAAAATAACATTTTTTACAAATTTGGTCTGTCTGTCTGTTTGTTCCGGCTAATCTCTGAGATGGCTGGGCCGATTTGGACGGGACCTTTATTGGCAGGTAGCTAATGGAATAAGGAGTAACTTAGGCTACTTTTATTTAAGAAAAATAAAGTTAAATTCCACGCCGACGAAGTGCAGCTAGTCATAAATAAAAATGTTTGCACCGTGCGAAGAATCGAACACGCGACCATCGGAAGCAAAGCGGTGTGCTAATCCGCTAGACCACCGAGGCTGTCAAGTTATACATTATACATTGTGTATCATTACATACAAGTGACTATTTGTCATGGTCGTTCTGATTGTACAGCATTATACTTAACCGCTACTTAGTTATAACTTACAATGTTTTTCCTTATCGTGACACGCGTGTGACAATGTTACACGTGTCCAACGCTAGGTCACATTGCTTATTCAGTGACAGATAAACATATTAATATTATAAATGCGAAAATTTGTGAGTATGGATAGATGTTTGTTACTCTTTCACGGAAAAACTACTGAACGGATTTTGATGAAACTTTACAGTAATATAGTTTATACATCAGACAATAACACATAGGATATACACGGGTGTACATGTATTTTATACATATAAACCTTTCTCTTGAATCACTCTATCTATTAAGAAAAACTGCTTCTAAATCCGTTGCGTAGTTTTAAAGATTTAAGCATACATAGGGACGGACAGGCAGCGACAGCGACTTTGTTTTATACTATGTAATGATGCGAAAGTTTGTGAGTATGTATGTTTGTTACTCTTTCACGCAAAAACTACTGAACTAATTTTAATGAAACTTTACAGTAATATAGTTTATATATCAGACAATAACACAGGCTATATTTTATATTGAAATTTAACGCGTGTAAAACCGCGGGCACTGCTAGTATAGTATATGTTTGATTGTCGCTTTATTTTAAGTGTAATTAACTCCAATAGGAAGGTCTCAATTTAGAAAGAAATTCAATAGGAGGAATTAAGGGAAGGAATTAACTCCAATAGGAAGGTCTCAATTTAGAAAGAAATTCAATAGGAGGAATTAAGGGAAGGAATTAACTCCAATAGGAAGGTCTCAATTTAGAAAGAAATTCAATAGGAGGAATTAAGGGAAGGAATTAACTCCAATAGGAAGGTCTCAATTCAGAAACAAATTCAATAGGAGGAATTAAGGGAAGGAATTATCTCCAATAGGAAGGTCTCAATTTAGAAAGAAATTCAATAGGGAGGAATTAAGGGAAGGAATTAACTGCAATAGGAAGGTCTCTATTTAGAAAGAAATTCAATAGGAGGAATTAAGGGAAGGAATTATCTCCAATAGGAAGGTCTCAATTTAGAAAGAAATTCAATAGGGAGGAATTAAGGGAAGGAATTAACTGCAATAGGAAGGTCTCTATTTAGAAAGAAATTCAATAGGAGGAATTAAGGGAAGGAATTAACTCCAATAGGAAGGTCTCAATTTAATTTAAACCGTTTTCTACTACATGCAGATGAATATAAATACGGTACATACACCAAAATAACATTTTTTACAATTTTTGTCTGTTTGTTCCGGCTAATTTCTGAAATAGTTGGACCGATTTTGACGGCACTTTTATTGGCGGGTAGCTGATGCAATAAGGAGCAACTTAGGCTCCTTTTATTTTAGAAAAATAAAGTTAATTTCGAGGACGAAGTCGCGGGTACAGGTAGTATAGAATATATATATTTATTTATTGAACTATAAAGCACATAGTACAAAAAGTAACAGTACATTAGTTAACACCATGCGGTATATATGTATGTATATATGGCCCCGAAAACTTGTAAAACACTGCTATAATAAATTTGTGTCAAATATTACATTACAACTCATTGACGCTAATCCGAATGACGTATTTTAACCACAATAACACCACAAAATCAATATAACATACACATACATACATCCATAGAAATATTATAAATGTTAACATGTGTATGTATGATACATTTTCACGACTATACGGCTTTAATGGATCTTTATGACAGATGTGAAAATAGACTGTATCACGAGAACAAAATTCAAAAATCATTTATTCATGTAGGACATTTTAGCTGCTTATGAACGTTTTACATTATAATTTTTTTTCCCTACCGCCCAGTTCGGTATATCGATCCTATAGAATAGAATAGAAAATCATTTATTCAAATAAACTTAATTTAAGCACTTTTGAATAGTCAACAATTTTTTTTAAATCTACCGCTTCTTCGGAAAGCTGAAAGCATAAGTACGAAACTTGTGTGTTGCTCTATTAAAAAATCCTTGTAAGTTCACATTTTACAAGTCGAAACGTGTGAATGCAAACTACCAACCAGCACTAATTCATTTAGGCTCAAATATAAAAACACAGTGTTCTATATCTTATATATCTTTTATCTTATATATAAAATTCTCGTGTCACAGTTTTCGTTCCCATACTCCTCCGAAACGGCTTGACCGATTCTCATGAAATTTTGTGAGCGTATTGAGTAGGTCTGAGAATCGGCCAACATCTATTTTACATCTCCCTAAATGTTAGGGGTAGTCCACCCCTAAATTTTTGTTTTTATTTTAAGGCAAAACAACGTTTGCCGGGACAGCTAGTAAGCTATATTATTGTTAAAGTTAAGTTTCATAAAAATCCGTTCAGTAGTTTTTGCGGGAAAGAGTAACAAAGATCCATTCTCTATCCATCCGAAATCACAAACTTTCGCGTTTATAATGTTAATAAGATAGGCAATATTTCGTTATTACTCTACCTTTAGTATTTTTTAGTTATTTATGTATTGTGTCGCGGATATCTTTGGCTCAGGTACGGGACGTGACAGTTTTTGATGAGTAGAGATTTTCATCTGCATTAAATGTGTTTCTTTTTAATATATTACAAAAACGTACCGATAAAACTCAATGTTGATAATATTCTAAGAAACATTCATAATAAATTTATTAATGACATATTCAAAATGTAAATTATATATCATATATACCACGTTTTATAGTGACTGACGTTTCATGTCAAGTCACACGGGAATGCTGTCGAACGGGACAAAAATCCTATGTCCTTCTCCTGGCTCTAAACTACCTCCCTACCAATTTTCAGCTAAATCGGTTCAGCCGTTCTTGAGTTATAAGTGGAGTAACTAACACGACTTTCTTTTATATATATGTTAGCAAAGATTAGCCCGAACAAACAGATAGACAGACAAAAATTGTAAAAAAATTTATTTTGATGTATGTACCCTATTTATATTCATATGCATGTAGTAAGAAACGTCTATTTCAATATTACAAACAGACACTCCAAATAAAATTGGAGTGTCTGTTTGTAATATTGAAATAACTGATCTCTGAATCTGTGATCTCTGAAATGGCTGGGCCGATTTTGACGGGATTTTTTTTGGCAGGTAGTTGATCTACTACGGAGAAACTTAGGCTACATTTATTTTAGAAAAATAAACTTAAATTCCATACGGACAAAGTCGCGGGAATAGCTAGTCATCCATAAAAAAAAATACCACTACATGTCGGTTTATTACATTTATTAGCCGGACCAGTGACATAAATTAAATGAATTATACGTTAGTACTTCCCAAGTGGCCATGTTTCCAGTAACACAGTGGAAATAAGCCACTTTTCCGCATCGTAATTCGATACAACAAGAGCCATTCCAAACGCCTGTCACTGATCTCCATTAAGGGAATTAGCTCCCACGCCGTTAATAAAACTGATGATGCTTTTTGCATTCTTTTTGTATTTTTATTTTAACCAACTGCCATATATACTATATCATCATTATCATTACATAGTATAAAACAAAGTCGCTATCGCTGCCTGTCCGTCTCTATGTATGCTTAAATCTTTAAAACTACGCAACGGATTTTAAAGCGGTTTTTTTAATAGATAGAGTGATTCAAGAGGATGGTTTATATATATATATAAAACATATACCCGTGCGAAGCCGGGGCTAGTACCTAGTTTTATATATAAAATTTTCGTGTCACAATGTCATTTACTATATTCCTCCGAAACGGCTTGACCGATTTTTATGAAATTTTATATGCATATTTAGTGGGTCTGAGAATCGGCTACTATTTTCATACTAGGAGTATGAATAAGGGATGTCCATCCCTAACATTTTATTTTATTTTTGGCCAACCCTAAATTTTCTTCTATCATCAACCCCTATTTTTAATAGCAATTTTAATTTATATGGCAAAATAATGTTTGCCGGTTCACCTAGTCATCATCACCTGCTTCTTCGTTATCTCATTTATTTGTGGTCGTCGTAATAAGTTTGTCTCTTCCATTCATCTCTGTTCGCAGTCATCGCGTTATTTACTCCCTTTCTTACCATATCATCTTACACAGTCCATCCATTTAGCATGTCATCATCATCATCATCATCATCGCAGCTCGAAAGATGCCCACTGCTGGACATAGGCCTCCCCCAAAGATCTCCACGACGATCGGTCCTGCGCTGCTCGCATCCAATGCCTTCCAGCAATCTTGACCAGATCGTCGGTCCACCTTGCTGGAGGCCTTCCCACGCTGCGTCTACCGGTCCGTGGTCGCCACTCAAACACTTTACTGCCCCAACGGCCCATCTGTCCTACAAGCTATATGCCCTGCCCATTGCCACTTCAGAGTCGCAATTCTTCGGGCTATGTCGGTCACGCTGGTTCTTCTGCGGATCTCCTCATTTCTGATTCGATCACGCAGAGTAACTCCGAGCATAGCCCTCTCCATTGCCCTCTGAGTGACTCTGAGCTTGTTGATGTAGCCCATAGTTAGCGACCACGTCTCTGTTCCGTAAGTCATCACTGGCAACACACAATCTAGCAGGTAGTATGTATAAAAAAAAAAAGTAATTCAATTGAGTTTCTTGCCAGTTCTTCTCAATTGGATCTATATACCGAAATGGACGGTAGGGAAAAAAATAAAATTATAATGTAAAAATTTGACGTTCATAAGCGGCTAAAATGTCCTACATGAATAAATGATTTTTGAATTTGAATTTGAATTTGAATATATATAATTCTTCTGTACATGTTTGTCATGAAACTCCTTGAAAACGGCTAGACTGATTTTGATGAAATGTAGTTTGAGGTGACATACGATAAAAAGGCCTTATATTGATTATTCATCCCTGAAAGCGTCTATTTTACGTCGTATTAAATTTAATAGTGTATTTATGATTGTCGCAGGTACATCCAGAGAACTCTGAGTGGACGTGCTTCGAACAGAGCGCAACACTCGACGTGAAGAATTTCTTCGGACTGGAGAATACAGTGGAGAAGATTGCGATGAAGCAATACGCGGCGAATATAGCGAAAGGTAACAATTTATTATTTATATTTCACAAAGTTAGGTGATATTTTATGTTCATAATAATATCAGGACAATTCACACAACGCCATCTAGACCCAAGTTAAGCTAGCTAAAGCTTATGTTATGCATTTGTTTTTGTAAATAAATGCATATTATATATAGAAAACATCCAGACCGATACAAACAATCATACTCATCAATACAAATGTTTGTACCGTGCGTGGAATCGAACCCACGGCTATCGGATAGTAAAGCGGTACGCTAAACCACTAGACCACCGAGGCTGTTAAATGTCAAATGTTAGTAAGTCAATTTCCTAATTGATTTATCATCGTTTAATTCTGTCAAATGCAATTTGGTGGCCGATTAGTTTGGCATACGGCTTGTTTACCACTATTGTAGTATAAATAAATAAACATGCCCAAATAAAAACAATAATATATAATATAATTACCTACTATATCATAAATAGATAACATAAATGACTGACGAATAGACATCATAGTAATTGGATTTATAGTATGATAAATATATATTCTGACTGTAATGCAATTGTTAATTTTAAACTTTCGTGTTTAATATACATTATTTAAATTATTAACCGGGTCTTAACACGAATAATTTTATGGCAAATAAAGGTATTTACCTCTCTCGACGTTTCGACTAGGTTGCACTAGCCGTGGTCACGAGCTGACTGGAGTAACAGCGATGTCAATGTAGAAGTCCAGACAGCTCGTGTTAATAAGACCCGGTTAATAATTTAAATAATGTAGTGCAATTGTTTTTGTGTTATTTTGTTGGATATTGAAATATATTGTTTAAGTTTGTATAAAGTAAGTAACGTTTAAATGTAACATGTAAAATTATAATCTTATATATAAAATTCTCGTGTCACAGTTTTCGTTCCCATACTCCTCCGAAACGGCTTGACCGATTCTCATGAAATGTTGTGAGCGTATTGAGTAGGTCTGAGAATCGGCCAACATCTATTTTTCATCCCCCTAAATGTTAGGGGTAGTCCACCCCTAAATTTTATTTTATTTTAAGGCAAAACACGTTGTTTTGCCTTAAAATATTGCCGGGACAGCTACTCATATATAGTAATGTATGTAATATACAGATACATAATAATTACTTTCGGTCCTGACCAGTCTGACGTGTGCTGCGAATTATGAACTCCCATATTACGCGGCCTAGGTCATTCCTGAAACCTCGGAATGTTATCTACAGTGTGAAGTTCGTCACTTTATTATATTTTTTACTGATATTGTATTGATATGCCAACAATCTTTCTCTGCACCACTCATGGTCGCCTGGTAGATAACGCCGCATGGTGTTAAGTCCGCCATATGTACACATTGTTTTTGTGCATTAAATTTAAATAAATAAAAAAAAAATTGTGCAACCTATTATTTCATATTTCGTTTATTAACCAATGTAAAAAACTTCTTTACATATATGGCAAGTCATAACATACAGTAATTAATATTTATATAAATTCAATCCAATTACAATTACATTAATAAATAAAATTATATTAATTAATAAAATTACATTAATAATAACTAATAACATAATATGTTTCGTAGTCATAATTACGACATAATTATATTTAGGTCTAAATACGCGGTAATATTATACAAAGGCTGTTTTTCAAAAAAAGATTTTATTTCAGTTTTGAATTGTTTTGGGGGTAATTCTCTTATGTGCATAGGTAGTTTATTATACATTTTGATTTTTATACTAATGCCTTGTTTAAAAGTTTTGCCAAGTGGTACGTGATGATGCGGCTCGAATGATCAGATGGTAGGTGATGTTGGCTTCAGCAGATTACGAGTTGTAGAAATGATAGATTTGCTTATAGTCTTCAATTTAATGGGTAAATACTGTGATAAGTTACAATTTTGGTGGAGTGAACAAAAGTACGTTAGATCGGTCGGTTGATATTTTAAGTCTGTTCGTTACTTTGCGTATTTAAAATTGGATGGGTGTGCGGTCCAATCAGAACGCTCCCTTTGTATTGCGTTTTGTTACTGCTTGGTACGCGACACCAAGTCTTGTTTTAGAGTAGGTTAGGTTAGGTTTGTTTCTATATTTGGGTGTTGAAACGTCTGAATAAAGACGTGCTGATGGAGGCTTCCATCGTCCAGGCCTGGGTTCCCATACCGGAGGGGCCTGTGGAGGTCGACGCAGAGGTGGGCTGGTTCGGCGAGGCTCTGTCGCATATTTGCGACGCGGCGATGAGGCACCGCCGACTCAGGCGGGGCCGCGACGCCGACGAGGAAGCACAGCTGTACGAGCAGTACAAAGAGAGGAAGAAAGCTCTGCAGCTGTCCATCAGCAGGGCCAAGGAGACAGCCAGGGAAGAACTCCTGGAGACCCTGGACAGGGATCCATGGGGGCGCCCTTATAGGTTCGTCAGGGGCAAATTACGCCCCTGGGCGCCCCCAGTGGCAGAGGGTCTCCAGCCGCAGCAGCTGGAGGGGGTGTTGGAGGAGCTGTTCCCGAGACAGCCTCCCTTCACACCTCCTCCGATGATGCCGCGTGGCAGTGATGGAGAGGCCAGCGGCGTCAGCGCTGCTGCGGTTCCTATCATCACCGAGGAGGAGTTCGCCGCGGCCGTGGATAAACTCCGGGGCAAGAATGTCGCCCCGGGTCCGGATGGCATCCACGGCCGCGTCCTGGCCTTGGCCCTAAACACCCTAGGGGACCGACTCCGGTGCTTGTTCAACGCGTGTCTGGAGTCGGGACGGTTTCCCAATCAGTGGAAAGCGGGTAGAGTGGTCCTGCTCCGCAAAGCGGAGCACCCCGCAGGTTCGGTGGTTCCCTCGGCGTTCCGCCCCATAGTGCTGTTGGACGAGATCGGCAAGCTCTTCGAGAGAATCTTGGCGGGCCGACTCGTCCAACACCTGTCTCAGGTAGGTCCCGATCTCAGCCCGAAGCAGTTCGGGTTCCGAGAGGGGCGCTCGACGATCGACGCGATCTCGCGTGTGCGCTCCCTCTCGGAAGAGGCGACGTCCCAGGGTGGGGTGTTGTTGGCGGTCTCGTTGGACATAAAGAACGCCTTCAACACCCTGCCCTTTGCGACTATTAGGGAGGCGCTGAAATACCATCGCGCGCCTCCCTACATTCGGGACGTGATCGGGGCCTACCTCGAGGACAGGTCTGTGCTATGCACGGGGCGGAACGGCGTTGTAGTGCCGAGGGACATGCAACGCGGTGTTCCACAGGGGTCGGTTCTGGGCCCGATCCTGTGGAACATCGGGTATGATTGGAACCTGCGGGGCGCCCTTTTAACGGGCACTGACCTCGTGTGTTACGCGGATGACACCTTGGTCACTGCCCGGGGGCGGGACCTACGGGAGGCTACCCGCTTTGCCACGGCAAGCGTGGCGCTGGTCGTCGGTCGAATTAGAAGGCTTGGGCTCCAGGTGGCGCTGGAGAAGACCGAGATCCTATGTTTTCATGGGCCTCGGCGCGCGCCACCTCCGGATGCCCAGCTGGTCGTCAGTGGCCAGAGGGTGGGGGTCAAGCCCTGTATTAGGTATTTGGGGCTTGACCTGGACAGTCGTTGGAGCTTCCGCGCTCATTTCCGGAACCTGGTCCCTCGCCTTATGGCAGCCGCCGGCGCTCTTAGCTGGCTGCTGCCAAACGTGAGGGGCCCGGGAGAAGGTTCCCGCCGCCTATACCTCGGCGTGGTGCGGTCCATGGCCCTGTACGGGGCCCCCATCTGGGTGGGGGCCCTAGGGAGGGAAAATGTGGCCTGCCTTAACAGGCCACACAGGGCCATGGCCATCAGGGCCATTAGAGGCTACCGCACCATAACCGGGGAAGCGGCGGGTCTGCTGGCGGGGTCTCCTCCGTGGGACTTGGTAGCGGAGCTCCACGCGTCAGTGTACCACTGGCGCGCGGAGCGACGTTCCATGGGGGAGGCACCCGCTGGGCATGAGATTGAAGCGCGGAGGTCCGATTTTCGGCGGATCCTCAGGATCGAATGGCGGGCTAGGCTGATGAACCCGTCGGCCGGCCTGAGGACCGTCGAGGCTGTCCGTCCCATCCTCAAAAGGTGGATGAATAGGAGATGGCCACTGACGTACCGCATGACGCAGATACTGTCCGGGCACGGGTGCTTCGGGCGGTATCTGTGTCATGTGGCGAGGAAGGAGCCGACGACCGGCTGCCACGAGTGCGGAGGTGTGGAGGACACGGCGCAACACACGCTGGACGAATGTCCAGCGTTCGAGAGTGAGCGCCGTGTCCTCACACGAATAGTGGGGGACGATCTCTCGCTGCCGAATTTAGTTCGGAGGATGATCAGTAGCGAGAGATCGTGGCTGGCGGTGAGCTCCTTCTGCGAGGAAGTTATCTCGCGGAAGGAGGCGGCGGGAAGGGAGCGGGAGTCAGATCGTCCCGCTTCCCTCCGCCGCAGAAGAGCCAGGCCTAGAGGTGGGGGCGTACCCAACTCCGCCCCCCTCTATCCCCCACTGGGGCCGGGGTGACTGCCGTGAGGGAGGCAGTCCCCCCCAACCAAAGGCCCCCGAGGTGTGCGCGTGTACCCACACGCCTCCACAATGGAGTAGGGCGAAATAGGTCGCCCTAACCACAAAACGAGATGGGGCCTGCCCTACAACATCTACAGGGCGGGCCGTCGCCGTCGGAGCTGGGGTAGAATGCACTTGCGAACCCCCTGGCTCCGGCATAGGCGCTCGTAGGTACACCGTGTGGTTTTTTAGTGGGTACAAGTCCCACACACCACCTCGCCATCCCTCCGGCGGGGTGACGGTCTTTTGAAGATTTTTCCACACGTTAAAAAAAAAAAAAAGGTTTGTTTCTATATTGCGGTGAGCTCCTTCTGCGAGGAAGTTATCTCGCGGAAGGAGGCGGCG